AAAAAAATCTAAAAAGAGAATGTTCTTTAACAAATCTCCCTTTTATGCAGCATTTTAGAAGAAAGATGTTTGCATCTGTAAAAGGGATATTTATGTTATTAAGTCGGGGTGGCGGGATCACATAAGTGACGGGCAAAACTATGCAAACAGCCATTTAAAAGGTATTTATTTAGACACAAAAATAGACATCTAGGAAGATGTACACAGATAAAAAGAATTGTCCTAAAGACGAACTAAAAATAAGTTGTGAAACAGGATCTTGTGATAGAAAAATTCTAAGTTAATTTTTCAGAAGCAGAGACATCTGTAAGGAGTGAATTGTCACGTTATTAGCAAAATGATTGGTAGAAAGGATTTCTAGTTCTTTCAAACCATAGTGTCCTTACATTTTATACCATAAATGATAGATAACACGGCACATGTGAGAAAGCAATGTTGCTTTAAAAGGTGGTTCTCGAACCACCTGAGTCTGAATCACCACGTCCCCTAATTAAAAGTGAAGATGACATCAAGGTGATTCTTGCAGAATCTAAAGGTTTAAAAACACTGCTATAAGAAGTAGAAAACACAGGGGCAGCGTTGGGAGGGGGGGCAGGTCTTACGTACCACGGTGTTTTATATAATATTATCCACAGATATATTTTATGTTCATTTTCAATGTTAAAATTCAGGCATTTTGAAATGTGCTCGTATATAAAATTACAATTAGGTTTAGAATGTAGCAAAAGAAGTTTTCGAACCCCATGAATCTAGCCTGTGAAAGCAAAGAATATAAAACAAAGCCATGAAAAAGATGAGTGTCCTAATTTGATCAAAAATATAGTTTAATGGCCTCACCTACCACTGATCATAAAATGTGAGAGTTATGAATCAGAATCTAACAATAGCCTCATCAGGTCCCCGGAATTTATTGCAGTCATTGTTCTAAATCCACTGGGCAGAATTCAAAGAATAGGTTGCTTAAATCACACAAACAAAAATGATTTTCAAAATACATGATAAACATGCAATGTTTATCAAATGCTTAGAACAGGATACACGGGACTTTTGTAGACATGATGATCTGAAATATTTTGGGTGATTTTTCTCAACTTCGCATTATCCTCATATGGCGGCTACAGTGTATATGGTTTTCAAACTTAAAAAAAAATACGTTCTGACTGGAGAGCTCAAAACAACAGTAAACCTAATAACCAAAGAGCAAGGAAGAAGATCCAAGGGAAAAGATAAACAGGAGTGGAGTATATGACGGGGGGAGGAATCAAAACACATATATTTTCAGATACATGAGCATCCAATACATAGCAGACTATCACGAACACTACAGAGAATATGAAAAGTCGTTCTTTAATTTTGAAAAGAAAAAAATTGTTGACTCCACTGTTTATTGTAACTAACTAAATAATTACATGAGTGGATTAATAAAATGTGGTATATGTATACCATGGAGTACTATTCAGCTTTAAGAAACAATGGTGATATAGCACCTCTTGTATACTCCTGGATAGAGCTGGAACGCATTCTACTAAGTGAGGTATCCCAAGAATGGAAAGACAAGCACCACATGTACTCACCATCAAACTGGTATTAACTGATCAACACATAAGTGCACATATAAGAATAACATCTATTGGATGTTGGGCAGGGGGGAGGGGGAGGGGGGAGAAGGGAAGAGGGGACGGGTATATGCATACACAAAGAGTGCAATGCGCACCACCCGAAGGATGGACATATTTGAAACTCGGACTTGGGCGGGGGGCAACATACGTAACCTAAACATCTGTACCCCCATAATATGCTGAAATAAAAAAAAGTTAAAAAAAAATTATTCTTTTGCACAAAGCTAACAGATGAAAATTCATCTTTCTTTATATGCATAGAGGGGTGGTGCACCCTAAGACAGAGGTTCTGCTGATCAGCTCTTTCAAACCCTAATTCAAAAATTGCATTAAAGGTCAGAATATGTGCCCGAAAACAGGAGAAGAAAGACATCAAGTCACTTAGGGAGACCGCATGTGAACGTGACAACAGATTAAATAAATGCCAGATGCCATGATCATAGAAATACACGTAAACGTGTCTACCGTACACGCAGA